TTGTCTTTCGATGACGTGAGATTGAAAATTTCTGACAGTTTCTTATTTTCGGTAGTCAAAATTTACGTGTCGATGCCCAAAGCTTAAATCTTTTTCACGGCACTATTTTTGAAAAAAAAAACTGCATTGAGGCAGCCAAACCCATTCACACGACTCAATTTAACGACCCCATCGCCTGCCAAAAGTGCACATCGTCGTCATTGTCGATTATCATCCACTTATGAACTTCCATTTAATTGCTATTATCAACGACGTCGGTCGATAAGTCTGGAACGGCGTCAGAAACTCAATATATCTCTCTCCTAAATGTACAACCAACTGCCAAGATTATTCATAGGATAACGTTTCGGAAAATTGGAACCGGGCTAATAACAACAATGCAGCTCGAACCCTCCGAGGAGGGAAATTCTCTCCATTGTCATTTTCCCCGTGCACAAGTCGGGTAGCATGAAGCAAAGCCAGCAAAGGGGACGGAAATGTGCCGAATACTTCAAGAGGAGTTATAAAATCCCGAAGGGGGAAGCAAACGATTAAATAATAAATAACATCCAATAAAGTTCTGATGGCAAACGGCGGTGCGGGACGAGTTTTTCCGGGACGAATAGATTGTGTAAAACTTAATCGTCGAGTCATTACCGGGAAAAATTGAGTGGATGAGATTTGATTGCACGGCTGAGCATGGATGGTCGGTTGGTTGTAGTGGATTGTACTTTTGGTTTCTCGAAATTAGCGCAACCATTCATCTTTAAACGAAGGGTAATGAGGGGTACAACCCTAAGTCGCTTCAATGCAATGCAGAGATTGGGTGTAGGTTTCTTCGAATTAGAGGGGTGCATTTAAGTAACTCTGCAACAGCCATATTGATACAATCACTTGCTGCTTTAAGGAAAACTGAAACCGAACAATGATGGACATCATCGCACTTTGTAACGCACGCATAATTTGTCGATTTTTCCTCCAATTAAAAGCATTAATAAACCTGGATTCCCAAAGGCGTGTGACACCACGGCAGGTTTCCGATTCCGATTTCGAAAGGTGATGTCGTAAATTTATGGCGTCCGATCGATCGTCGAGTTTGACTGAGATATCGGGTTACACTACAGTTTCCACCAACCGATCGATCGATCGTGATGGTCATCATTTCCATAACTTGCTATTTTGCATATTGAATCGAAATCTTCGAGAACGCTGCTTTCCTTCCATAGCGGGTGCGTCGCCCGTTGAAAACCTAATGGTTCCAATATCAGGTTTTTCAGTGAGGTGTTTGGTGGGTCATTAAATTAATTATTGCCGAATTAGATTGCTCTGGCAGGATTGGTGATACGAGTGGGCATTCCTCCGGGTTTGCAGTTCCCAGCCATAACAGTTTTGAGGAATGTGATAGCTTGAATGAATTTGGCGGATGGTGAATGAACCGAATGACGGGAAGTGATCGTGGGAACGTTGGATTGGACGTTTCGTTGATCTTGATGGACGATGGACGCAGCTCAAGAAGGATTTGTATCGAGGGCGAAACCATGTGTCCCTAGTAAATTTAGGATGATGTTTTTCAAACTGGCTTTAACACTTTAATCGAGCTTTCACCTGCTCTCAACTTAGTGTTTTTTGTAGCACGTCCACTGTTATTAATCAAAAGCATTTCTATCACAATCAATGCATGAATTTGTACTTTTTTGAGTCAAGAAAATGTCCAGTACGAGAGATTCCCTAAATTGGACCGCCCTCTCCGGCTTGATAATACCGCATCATTACTGTCTACGCTATCTCAGACCAAAAATTTGGGTTTGCAAAATCCGAATTTGTAACTGTTATTCATATGCATGTAAATCGTTCAATTTGCAGAAATTAGTGATTATAATCAACTGATGATTTCTCTCAAACCTACGGTTAAGATTTAATTAGTGTTAGTTGTTAAGTTCAAACTAAGCTTCTTTTCTGCTCCGGTCCAAATTTCATCGCTTCAGATGCTGCTGTAGGGTTTTTGATCTAATTTTCGTCCTACTTAGCACAACCCGCGCTTTACCTCTCTTTTCTGAACGAGTTTAAACAAAAAATTGAATATTTCTGTCAAAGATGACTTTTAAATTTATTCACGATTCCATACAATTTCATTTGATAAAGAGCCACAAATTATTGAGGTATTTTTGAAAATATAATACTGCTTCTTGATTCTAAATTCGTCCTACGAGTTTCAATTCCGTCCTAACGCATTGAAACGTCTTTAGATTTTCTTCGTCCTACGGATAAACGTAGAAAAAGGGGATTCGCTAGGAGCGCTTCTTTTGTTTTGAGAACAATGAGCGTAAATATTCACACAATGCGCTCTAACAGGATTTATGTTGTAGCTAATGAACGAACGCATCGGAACATACCTATAATTGATTTGTGCACGGTGAAATCATTGATATTATTGATCTTTTTTGATCGATGGAACGGAAATAGGCGATTACGGCGAACTAGCGTTTTTTAGATTTCCATCCGCTTCAATCTTCTTTTGATACCCGGTTTCACCTTCTTTATCGCCGTCTTCTTCATCCGTGTTTGTGCTTGTATTCACCTCTACTTCATCCTCTGCGTAACCATCTTCTTCTCAATCTTCTTCTGCTTTCTTCGCATCATCTTCTGTCATCTTCATCAGCTTCCATTTTTGCCTTTAGGTAGCGGCAACTCTTCTCCTTTGTATTCTTGATTTTCCTTCGTTCTTCGCTTGATCATCTGCCCCGCTTTCTTTATCCTGTTCTCCATTCGTGTCTTCTTCTGCTCCCTATTTGAATGTTTCTTCCCCATAATCCTCTGTTTTCTTCTGTTGTCCTTAACGTCCTCTGAATCCGTTTCTCTCTTTTCCTCGTTTTCACAATGTTTGATAGATATTAGCTTCATGCAGGAACTTCAGTAACCGCTTTTCACTGTCATCATCGTTGCATAGTGCCGTCTAAAGACTAGTTGGATCGACCTCATGTTTCGTCCTGACTGCTTCAAATTTTCTGCAGTGTAGAATTACGTGTCGGACATCCATAACCGTTCCACAGCATTCGCATGTCGGTGGCGATGGTTTCTTTAATAGAAATTCATGTGTCAGTCTAGTATGGCCGATGCGCAAACGAGTAAGTACTCGCTGGTCGATCCACTTTTTCGTGTCACGTTTTATCTCCTTGAGCTTGACTTCTGTAAGTTGCGCGCATCGTGCCTCCCACTGTTGACGGACGGCTTCGTTCATGCCGGATGCCGGCGTGGCCGGGAACCCAACAAAAGTGAATCGGACGGTTCCGAAGCAGACATTCAATTTCTTGGATCCAGGGATGCTGCGATTTGACACTCTCTATTGCTGAAAAACAGCTAGCCGAATCGGACAGAATGATCGCGTCAATTATTGTACTCGCCTCGGTGACAGCCGATTTGATCGCATAGGCCTCCGCCGAAAAAACGCTACATTGACACGCTGCCGCTGAATACTCCTGCTCCTACTCTGTCTTCACACTAGAACCGTCGGTATAGATAGCCGTAGCATGGTGAAACCGGCTTGCCAGTAACTCCTGAATGATGGGACGCACTGTATCTGGAGGATCTTCTGCTTTCACCTGTCGTTTCACGTCCCAAACAATGCGTGGCTTGCCCATGTAACAATCTAAATGCTTGGAAGATTTATTCTTATTTTATCATTGTTTTATCATAGCATCCCTTGCAGCCTGTGGTTGTATTACGGTTTTGTGTGCTTGTCATAAAACCAGGCCGTTAAGTCGTCTATAAAACTGTTTTATAACTACTAAATTAAAACTCAGACTCCATAGTTTTAACAGTAGCTGTAAGGTGGTTCTGTATCACTTCACTGTAGAATAAAACCAAAACAAAACATCCAATTATGTTTTATGGCATACTTTTTATGACCGATATAAAACTTTAAGTAGTCTTAGACCTTCATTAAAGCCTCATTACAGCTATCATCTTTATCAGAGGCCTAAGATTCACAGATAAGAAATATACTACAACAATTACAAAAAACACTCTGACAATTTTTACCAATATAAAAAAAAATCTATTCAGATACATGAAATGAAAACCCCTTCAGTGCTTTTGAACACGATGAAGATGAGACGATCGCCAATATGAAACTCCTGGAGGATCTACAGTTATGGGCTACCTCATATAACATAAGGCACAGTGCGGTGAAGGAGCTCCTAAAAATATTGAACAAGCGGCTTTCCGATACAATTCCGAAAGATCCACAAACCCTTCTTAAAACAACGCAGACAGTTTCACTAAATCCGGATGGAGATGGCCAGTATTGGCATCACGGTTTTAAACCTTGTATTGAAAAAGCTTTTAGTGGATCCAATAAGCATTTCTTACATCTTGATTACAAGAGAAAATAGGAGGATCACTTGGAATGTTGACTTTTTGACAGGTTGCCATGGTTTTTGTTTTGTTTTGATTCGCTGTACCGAATAAAACCAGCAAGCTAGTTAGAGAGCTTAAATATAACGTAACGCTCTCAATTTGGACTACGAAATGCTAAGATACAACCATTAGGTTTATGTTATGCCATATAATTCCTAAGAGCCTAAGTACAACCCGCACTTTACCTCTCTAAATCTATTTACATAAAATGTAATGTTTCTGCCACAGATGACTTCTAAATGTATTCATAGGGTGTCCCAGAAAGTATACACATAGTTTATTATTGGAATAAAACAGCGTTATGTTAATGAACACAAATTTTTATTTCAGATAAGGTAAAGGCTCCAATATTGACCATGATCCTAATTTTACCAACTTTTGACGATATTTCGCGTTGTTTAAGATGTTCAGTTGCGTTCAGTTAGTTGGTATTTAAAAAAAATCATATTCAGCGGTGTACATAAACATTTCGACCTCAAAATAGGAACCTATGGTAGATAACCTTTTCGTGGTACGATACGGGATGTAAGATCTACCACCGATTTCTAGTCCTGACTTCTTCAAACTTGGGGAACAGGATTTTTCAGTAATCAAGGAAACACATCTTATTCCTTGTTACTTTTTATGCCTTGTTGATAGTGACAAGACTTGGCTTTGTCCACCGAGGATGATCTTGAAACAAGGAAAAATGAGTTAGTTAGTCTTCATCTATATGATTCCTAACCTTCTATTCGTTGTTCCCTAGTTTGAACTGGTTAAGACTAGGGTTCTGATGCATGGTCATGATCGGTGTCATTCCTTAATTTTGTTGCTAAGGAATCCAATTTTGACTGATAAAGGGGCGCGCCTTTGGAGGGTGTTTCAACACTCCGATGGGTATAACGAGCGGGACCTTTCAATTAGAGTCGGATCCTTGCGATAAATGCAAGAATGACAACCGTAAAAAAAAAAATCAAATAGGGGAAATGTCTCTAATGTTGGCCTATGGATCTAAGATTGGGCCCAGCGCTACAAATCTGCTATTTATCAATTTTATCCAGATGAACGCGTTATTGGGACGTTACTAATACATATTTTTGGTTGCTATTGAAAATTTAGTCGTTTGCTGAATTTATGTATGGGCCCAAATTAGGGATACTTAGGCCGACATTACCTGCATTTAAGTAATACGACATGCCCTAAACCAAGGACACGGGATATACTACAATAGATCAACTTACTGGTCGCAGTGGTGTTAGGTCCCGAACAGAGGAAAGAAAATGGCCAATACTGGTGCACTTCCCCTATGTGTTCTCTTCAGTGTTCTCTTTCAATTGGGTGAAAATAATCCGCAGTTCCTTTAATCGTATGTCAAGGAGCGAACTTTTGATCTGACGCTACCCATGAGCTTCAGCACAGATTCCTTGGCGATAATTTTGGTCACTTTTGTCCAGTCTTTTTCAAATTCTTCGGTTGAATTAGCTGCTTTAAAGTGTTTCCGTAGATATCACTTGGAAAGGGCCCAAAAAGTTTCGATTGACCGGCACGTATTGCACATTGTTTCCTTTGTACCAAGCTACCGTGTCTTTCGAATAGTGCATTGACACCAAATCGGACCAAAATAGACCTGGGCCATCATGTTGACGGGTCATGGGCCGCAGACGCCGATTCAAACTCTCCCGAACGTATATTTCAGTATTCATCGTCTCTTTCGTCACAAATGGCTCTGACAACTTGCCACACTCACTTATCGCTTGCCAAATCATGGCCTTCTTACCAAAATTTTCAGTTTTGACAAATTGACGTATCGGCATCCTCAACTTCCTGACCATCACGGACTGTGATGGTGTGGTCTCCCGGAAGCTTCTTGTGTAGTAAAATTTGACGTATGTTTCATCCTGGGTACTGCGGAGTCGACAAATTTTATTTTGCAAGCCAATGGAAAACTGCTTGAAAATTTTCTCAAGTTTATAACTGGTTTGCTCTTTCTCAGTTGATTCCCGCCAAAATCTCTGAGCCAGGAGTGCTTGAGCCCCCATGACTCTATCAAAGTTTGTTTACGTACATGTTTCGCAAAGGATTGTTTTACTGTAATTGAAAACTCAGCTGCCTCATAAAAGTATGCTGGTTTTTATACTTTCATCACTGAGTCTGTTTGTTTTTATCTTTGAGCTTAAAATTAAGAATGTGTAATGAAAAAGTATACATCCTTTTTATGAGATTACAATGCTTGACGATAATAACAGAACAGTAACTGCATTTGCTGCTTCTGAATGTTTGGCTCCCAAGTGACAAGCACCTTGAGTGAGTCCGCAGTACTCAGATTTCATCGTCCGTTATCACGCCACTTTTCCACACAGCAGGCTATCATATAGCTTCCGAGCCCTCGGTTTGACGGGATGAGGCTGGTTGCTGATTCCATTTCCACTTTTTCTGCTTATTGAACGATTTCAGCCCGTTTCTTGCCTAGGCACGTTGGACGTTACTTTTAAATGTTTCAGTTTTTTATAGGCTAAATCTCGAACAGAGGCACTTTTCTTACTGACGAAAGCTTGGTGATCTTCTGGTCCACTTTTCGGTCCACCAGTCCCGGTTTACGGCCAGATTTCGATGTGTCCTCGAAGGTAATTTCTTCACCGAACTTTCGGATGCCAGTTTGGACTGCTCCATTTGCGCCAACTTCGTTGCTGATATGTTGGGAATAAACATTACACTTGAGCAATAAGTAAACAACAACACACATCGATGAACAGCTGATAAACTTCATCGGGGTAGAAAATGGCGGTGAGTTGAAAGTGTACTTATTCTTTCTGGGACACCCTATACCTTCCAGTTGGATTTGATAAAGTGTTATAAATTGTATATATTTTGTTTTGGTGGGCTTCGTGGTCGTACGAGTAGCGGCGTCACCCGTCGTTCAGGCGTAATTGTGTGTGCCACGAAATAAGGGTTCGATTCTAGCTGCAGCCGCTGAAACTTTTGGTTAAAAGATTTTTTTTTTCCTACTGGTCTACTGAACGTTGTGTGTTGTACGTTGTCTAATATATGTGTTCAGTCTATGCAACTTCTGGTTGAAGACGGTGTCCCCTGTCTTTTCATAAATACAACACGACTTGCTCATTCCAAATTCGCCTACGGGTTTCATTTTCGTACAAATGTTTAGAAAAGTTCCAGAACAAATAGAAAAAAAAGTAGAATGGTCTGTGCCTAGGAACACGAACGGAAGCTTAACGTAGGACCGCTAGTGGACGGAAAATATGTTGAGCCTTTAGTTCTTTTAATTGACCGATAATCTATTATCTTAACTCTTTCCGTTTTTGAATTGATGGACCTGAAAAGGACCGGATGTTTTTCGAATGGTGGCCCTGAAAAGGACCGGTTGTTTTTTCTGGTGTCCTTTTGATCTTTTGGGACGGCTACCGTGTAGCTGATAAAAAAATAGTGATTATTAATACCTGTAATTTTAAAAGTTTGTTTGTTAAATTCTGGTAGATGATATTACCACCGACGAACCGACGTGTCAGCTCATAGAAGCGACATCCAAATTCTAGCCCAAGACGCCATATTTAAAATACGTTAAACACTACCGCCATCTACTCATCCGATCGCGTCATATCGTGACCAAGGACACGAACACACGTAACATTTATATTGACATGGTTTGCGTCTCACCTCGTTTGACAGATCTGATCGCCCGTTTGACAGATCGAATCGCTAATTGGATAAATCGAATTGTGGACAAACGAAATGCTCCAGTGGCATGTAGGTTCGTCGGTGATATTACTACTTAACTATATCACCGGTGCCCTTAGATTTTTTCGCAAATTTTCTCACACATACGTCTCTTATCGATGATATGTGCTTACCTCTCAGTATGTTCAAACTTTCCTATATATCAGTAAGTATAGGCCGATGGTAAGAGAAATAGGTGATGAATACTGTACATCTAAGATCTGGAATATGTAGCGCAAAGGCCGTGAGTGGTCGGATCATACGTGTTTGCTCTTAGTTCTTTTAATTATTCGAAAATCTATAATCTTAACTCCTTCTGTATTTATTTGGTGGTCCTGAATAGAATCGTTTGTTGATTTTTCGTGGTGTCCATCGAAAGGGTTGTTGATGTTGGAGGGTACGGAACGAAAAGGTACTAATCACTGTTGCCTTTTGGCGCTATTTGTTGATATTGCTGTTGTATTTGCTTCAGTGGATGGAGAACTAACACGAAATGCTTATACGTGCTACCGATTGACGTTTTGGGAAGGTTTAGAGCTGGATGATTTACGCAAGTTTATTCTCTCACGGAGACTCAATGACCCAAACCTGATAGTGATTTTCCGAGCACTGCTATTGGCACTGATTGACGATTCTTTGCTGATATTTCTCTCCATGGTTCAAAAATATTTCAATTTTGTGAACCTGTTTTACCGCCCCTGGAGATCTTAAAAGAAATTCTATAGCGTAGAAATATAGTGGCCCTGAAAAAGTCCATTTGGGATCTAAGAGATTAACATGCTGGTGCTTTCGGGTATGGCGTGCTTACACCATTGCACAGTGGTTGATCAATGTTGTAGTCAGCCTAACGGAACGACTGCAGTGCAACGTCCGAAAGATGGTGAAGTTTTTTTTTTCTCAAAGAGCCTCCGATGTCCGCGTCCTTCAGGGTCCTACCAAATTTGTGGTGACCATCTCCGTTGCAAATGAAACTGCCGTTTTGGATCGAAGCGAACAAACTAGTGTACTTGGGTAACTCCAGAGACAGCGTATTCAGGCTGTGAACCATTTGCCGAGTTAAATTTAACTCGTGGTTAAAAGTGACATTTCGAAAGTTATTTCTTGTGTTTGAAAATCCCCGTGCTGTCAGTCGACCGGTTTTCGAGCCACGGTTGTCAAAATTTAACTTCTTGTCTGTCAGAAATAACCATGCTCGGATAGCAGGGTTAATCGATAACTTTTTATCTGTAAAATTTTAACCAAAAGTTAAAAAATTCGCCAAATGGTTCAGAGCTTCAGTTGGCTTTCCTGGCAGCAGTATTACACAGGTGATCATTGTAGTCAAACTCAGCTGTGTAACGTTCGAAGGATGTTGTTGCCGTGGGTAATGCTTCTCATTCAGATGTCCACGTCCACTTTCTGGGTCTTTCTAATTGGTTTTTTTCCTTGATTTGTTTTCCGTCGATCTTGTTTTCCGTGCTGAACACCAATGCTACCGACGCCAGGGAGGCACCTCCCACACCTGGACCCTACCTATCGACCCATCAACTCATGAACCGGGGACCAACGGCTTTACTTGCCTTCCGAAGGAAGCCGTGATCAGAGATGTTATGCCTCAGAACATACCGGCGGTGCCAACTGGGATTGAACCCACGACTGCTGGGGTGAGAGGTAATCACGCTTACCACTACACCACCGGCACCGCTGGGTGATTTCTAATTAGTTGTGACGACTGTCCCCACAGCTATGGAATTGCAGAATTGCAGCTGATCACGTTCACTGAATTACAGTATGTTTTAAGTGAACGTGATCAGTTGAAATTCTGCTGATCAACTCAGTTGAATTCAATTGGCTTGAAAAGTTAAGCCTGGTTCAACTTTTAGTGAGTTGATCAAATCAGTTGAATGGCATGGTTTACACGTTCTATTCGCGTTCAAGTCAGTTGAATTCACCCCCGAGTATCTAGACAGAAAATCTTAGTT